TATTTTCACAGAAGAGAGAGAATCAGAATGTTCTTTCCCAGATAGCACATTGATAGTCTCAACTTTACAGGATCAAATCAAATTCCCCAAACTTCCATCTCTTCTCTAAATATTAAAGTTTAGATTTTGGTAGTTATATTCAAAGTTATGTTGATAACTTAATTCTTTTTAATTTGTACTGGCCTTTAATTACATTCAACCGCTTTTTCAAATCTATGTTTAGAAATGTACTGACAGTTTCTATCTTCTATTTAGGTCTCACCACAAAAGATTAAAACCAATTCAGTTAACATTCATATCTCCCCCTCCCCAGTTGGTAAATGAGGCACCTGTTTTATAAAATTCTTTGCCTGAAGCAGAACAAGATACATAGAGCAGATCTCCTGCAGGGCACCAAGCCCTCAGGATAAAGATGTTTCGATTGTTGGGATCTACTTAATCTTGTTGATCAAGGGCTTCTTTTCTTCAATTCACAGTCAGGTTTAAAGAACTGCTAACATGAAGTGTTCTCAAAATGCAGTTGATTAAAGTGATACATACTTCTCTTACGGAGAATTTTGTCCAAAACTTTCAAAATGTGTAATATTTAACTACCTAAACTGATATAATAGAAGTATTATGCTTATTTTACAGAACAGTAATGAAGGGTGTTACAAAACACAGTGTTTCAATCAAGAGTGAATAAAAACCAGAATAACAACCTTGTGTTCTGTACTTTTTTAGAGTCATTTAAGATCCTGATCCACTCTACAATGTAGATGTACAGATAGTTCTTCCAGTACAACGGAAGGAGTGATGTGTTGCAGGGAGGTGATGGGAAGGAGGAATAGAGGGCAAGGCATGAAAATCTTAGGCCAATTTTGTCATCAAAGACTTTGTCCTCTAAAGACAAAGCCTAAAGCACAGAAAAGGCTAAGATCCATAACTGAATCACTGATATTTGCAAGAAACATGAACTAGCAGAATACTGAAGAGTCAGTGGCTCTTTTTTCAGCTTTAGTTGTTCTGTAATTGTAGTGTTTTACTAGATCAGCACCTATAAATCTTGAATTCTAGTAACATTTGCAGGCCCTGTTTAATAAACTAGTATAAAGAATACACTAAGAATAGAGTCCGAAAAACCTTCTCAGTGGCTATGTCAGTTTACAGACTTCCCATCCACTCCTAGACAAACATTTCTTCCCCTGTGCTGCCTCAAGTTACTAAACTGCACTGAATACCCACCCTCACAATGAAAACAGCTTTGTTATCAGTAAAATGTGATAGCATATTTAAAAAAGATTTCAGGAAAGATCTCTGTAACCAAAGACCGGTAATATTGGCATCTGTACTGCAGAAATTAATATAGTGTTCTAAATGTATTGTAAGTCCTTGAAGAAGAAGAATGTGGACAAGAGAAGCCTGATAATATGGTTTCCTTAGACTTCCAAAAAGTATTTGATAAGGTCCCTCACTGAAGGCTCTTGAAACACTTAGGTGCCGTGGTTTCCATATAAATGGAAATTGTTTAGACATAGGAAATGAGGGCAAAAAGAACTGGCCACAGAGGAGGTATATCACTAGTAAAGCCTTGCAGGAATCTGTGCTGAACTTCATGTTTTTCAGTAGATTCAAAGGTGATTTGGAAGAGATGGTTACTAATGAGTGAAAAAGTTTTCTGATGATACCAAGTTTTTCCAGATGCCAAAGGTAACTGACTCTGAAGAATGGCAGAACAACTTTAAAGTACAGAATGACTGGGTGATAAAAGGGCAGCTGAAATTCACTACTAATAAATGTTAAATATTAATAAATTAACAAATTCAGGAGAGAATAGCTCTAACACCAACTTCGAAAGTGGGAGACGTTAATTGCTGTTTTAACTTTCCAAACATGGATGAGATTTATCTTTACTGAATCAGAAACACAGGTTCTCCTCATAGACAGGAGTAAAGAGGAGTAATAAAGAATCTAGTTTCTACACCATTTGAAACTACCTGAAATGACCAATTTTGAGCAGCACAATCTGACATAAACCTTCTAATTGTAATCATTTGTGCTGGTTGATGGAGCCTATAGGGAAGAAATGCTTTGGTATTTAAGAATCAAGACAACTTAAAAAAAAAAATCAAAGACCTTTGCTTTCTTTAAAAGCATTTTAAGTCTATAAAAACAAGTTTGTTTAGAGTTAATTTTCAGTCTGTGATCTTAACAACCAGAACTGGTTCTCAAGAGCAACAGTCAGTCAGGAGGAAGATAGCAATTCCATTAAAGGTTTAACTTACTTTCTGTACATGACAGAAATCAAATTACATGATTTACAGAAAGACAACCACTACAGCGCAGAAAACCATATTTATTCCATAAAAATATTTCAGTATTCTGTGAAATAAGGAAGTATTTAATGACTATTAAATACTCTTGAATACAGTGAGGATATATGAGGAGAAATATAAATATAAATGTGCTTAGAACAACTGCTAGCAACAGGTTCAACTTTACTTATCAAAATGCAACAATGGCACTGATTTGACATTCAATGTGAATTAACTACACTGTTGTCCAAGGCAGCAATCCACATTTTACCTGCAAATAGGATGTGGAGAATAAGAAAACAGAAATCAGTTTAATTTAGAAATTTATTAAACTTTAAAAAGGACTCTGTAGGTAACACTGAGGGAGCCCCACTCTGTGCATTTCTCTGTATCTGACTCACAAAAAATCTGTTTCCCTTAATGAACCATTTCCAAAATAGTTTAAGGTATCCTTGATCTACTGTGTCACAGAAGAGATTTTTAAGAGCATGCAAAAAGCCTTGAAAAGGAAGACTTCAATGTTCTTTAGGATGGAGATTATTCTTTTTGGACTCAATCAGAAGTACTGGTCTGCTGACTGCAACTGTGTGGAAAAAATACTTCCTTCTAAGTCACAATTTAAGTACAAAGACATGAGTTTTATTGGCTTCTAGGCTTTCTTCTTAAATCGTTAAAATAAGAATTCAGAATTCTAATATTTAATTTAGAATGGTTTTAGAGAGCAGCTCTTCACTAATATTTTCCTTTGATGCACATGCAGGAGAGAAAACTGCTTTAAAATGTATTCTATCTGTAGAGTTATTTGTCTGCCTTTCTGTTACCCCTTTCCCCTCCATCATATATATTACCTTACCTAACAATCGATTCACTCTTTCATGGTAGAAATATAGTAGTGGTCTAGAAGAAGAGTGGTTAATCAGATGTAACTCACCCAGTGGGAATCTTTAAGACAGTAATATGTGTAAAACATAGCTGAATTTATTGTGGATGCATCTGAGTCACAGAAATGTATAGCTCTGACTACACTGCTATATTATATAGTCATAGCAAATGTAAAAACTCTTAGAAGTACACACTTTCAGATTCCTTGAGATGGCGGTGTCTTTTTTAATATTAATATGGCTTTAGTTAGGAAGAAGCCTTTATCATTGATAATACTTAGACTCTTCACACATTAAAGCGTATACAGACGCTTTTTTAAAATAAAAAAATCAGCACTGTACAATAAAATAAAGCAGAACCAACAACTAAACTTACCTAGCTAAATTATGACTTGATTTAAAAGGCTATTTATCAAACTCATACAAATATCCTTACCTAGCAGTCTCTTTCTAATGCTAAAAGCTGTGTAACTGAAGTTTCCAGTTAATTATTTCTAAGCTAGATTCTGGTCTCAGCAAGACTTTTAAATCCTAACTGAGTGGTTGCTGTCATAAACTCGTAGTCTTTTCTGAAGAAATGATTTCAGCTTTGTAAAAGATTATACTACTATAAATATGTTTGGGTGGTGTTGGAAATACAGATTTAAAGAAATTACATGATTCCTCTCTTTATGTGTTTCCCTTTTAGAGAGAAAAAGCTGTAACATTGTTTTCATAACCTTTTACAAGTGTCACTTACAGAGTAACCATTCTGAATATTATAGTCCTTTTGACATTTTCAAAATCTACAATAAGATAGACATAATGACATCTATAATTAATCTGTTTAAATGGAGAATACATTGAATGAATAAAACACAATTCTGACCCTTCCAACACCTTTGCTTCAGTATTATCAGGCTCCAAACTACATTCCCTTTCTCCTTTTTGAAAACTCTGTTTGACTCTATTCATTCTGTATCACAAATACAATGACTCCGTTTTGTTCTGTATTAGCATGGATGCTGAATCATCTCAGGAAAATAGGACAAAGGACAGCAATGATGCCATTAGTGATCAATGATAAAAGAGAAGCCAAATTTAATATGAGCATCTATTAGTATAGGTCTACCATGCAGATTTACGAATCATAATACCTAACTAAAGAAGGATGGTGGTTCAGAATAGTATCTCTTCAAGGTACTGGTCTAAAGAAACAGGAAAGGACAAAACAGTATATCTGAAAGACTAGGTGTTTCAATAAAAGTTTTAGTTTTAGTGGCATTACACTTGGAGTTTTAGTGGTATTACACTTGTATTAAAATAATTTATTTCCTTTCACATAATTGTTCTACAAAAAACTACATTTGAATATATAAAAACTTCAAAATTAGTATTTGTAAATGAGAATGATGATAGAAAAGATACCTAGTGAATAAATATAAGACAATTGTAGAATAACCAAAAGGACAAAAAGAAACATAATTCCCTAAGTTTCATCTGTTGATTTCTCCCGTCAGTTTAGATGAACTGCTTTATGCAGTAATGGATTTACATAACAAATACACAAAATCGGTCAGAAAATGTCACTTGACATTTCCAAAGACCAAGAGCCACACTGTAATAAGAAGAACACTAACCAGACAGTCTATTCTTCTGGATTACTGCACGTACCAGGTGATTGAAGGCACAAGCCTTCTGGCCTTATACCTCACAATTTACTCACTTTTGCAATAATCTCCACGTACAGCCTGTCATGTTTTAATGTTTAATTAGTAACTTTTAAAAAATATACACTATATAAATCCAATTTTAGAGATTTTTTTCCCCCCACATGTTCACTTACTCTTTATTGGGATAATGAGCTGAGGAATGACAGGAAGAATCTTGTTTCCACCATGTTCCAGCATGTCATGGATTCCTTGACGAGCAAAAAACTCATATGGAAATGTCATTTCACAAAGCCCATCAAAAAACAAAGGCAGATAGTAATGATAGTCCAGCTTTTCAATCTCTACCTGAAAATACAAAATAAATAAATGTAAATTTTCAATACTATTACAATGTGATCAGGCCTACAGATAATTCATGCCATCTACACAAGTATGTTTAGTAAATAATAATCCATTTTGTATCACTGAAGAATATAATTGTGTCACATATGGTTTATGGCCAGATATTGAAATGCGTAAATATTAGACCTAGAGGAAAGAATGAAAATGAATATGTTCCTATACATTTTCAATTTTTGATAAGTCAGTACCAAATTCTGATATTCTTGCTTATACATCTTATTCTCTAAGTTACCGTGAGGAATCAAACCAGTCATTTTAATAATAAGATTCTGTTTATTTCAGAAAAATCTGATCTTTACATCATCACATGGACACTCAAAAGAATAAGAGAAAGAATCCTGTAACCAACAAATATGAAGCATGGCACAAATACCAATATTTATACAGAATTCCCAACTTTCTATAATTTGATCTTATTTTATTTCCTACTAATTTCATGAGCAGAATTCTAAATAAATTCCATGAGTCTCTACTGTGAAAAAGGATAGAGAAATTAGGTACGTATTTCTAATAGGAACCTCCCTTCAATCCTAAAATACGAAGTGTGCTAACCTTCCCAAGTTACAGACTTTGTAAGAGATTTTGCACTCTATCCTAGTTTTCTTAGAGAAGAGAAGGTTCTGGGGAAGACCTTATTGCAGCCTGTCAATACTTAAAAGGGGGCTGATAACAAAGATGGGGACAGAATTTTTAGCAGGGCCTGTTGCAATAGGACAGGGTGTAATGGCTTTAATCTAAAAGAGGGCAGATTTAGACTAGATTTAAGGAAGAAGTTTTTCACAATGAGGGTGTGAGTGCAAAAACACTAGAACAGGTTGCCCAGAGAGGTAGTAGATGCCCCACCCCTGGAAACATTCCAGGTCAGATTGGACGGGGCTCTGAGCAACCTGGTCTAGTTGAAGCTGTCCCTGCTCATTGCAGGGGGGTTGGACTAGATGGCCTTTAAAGGTCCCTTCCAACCCAAAGATTCTGTGATTCTGTGATATGATTCCTTCTTCCACCCATCAGCACTCTGATGCTACATACACTTAGGATAGCCAGAGAGAAACAGAAGTTGTTTGCTTTCAGCCTGTCAAAGCTCTCAATACAGCTAAGAAGTGATTCAACACCAAAGCACTTTCTCTGAACAGAATATGATCCTCAAAATCACTTGAAGATCAATCCACCTCTTTAGGCATCCACTTCCATCTTTAAAAGACTGCTTAGCTGCTACACTATTTTTCCACTGAGACTATATTTTGGAATTGGGTAGATGCTTCTTCCTTCACATCTAACAAGCTTTGTCACACAGACTAAGCTGAAGATCCAAATATCCCCCCAAAAAACTGTCAGGTTAAGTAAACAAATACCCAGCCCTTGATTTGGGGCCACTAATCACATTCACACTTGAATTTTGGAAGAAAAGTCTGAAATAAAGCAGCCAAGGATTGAACTTGGGTTTTACATTTGTTGGGTAAATCCCATAGTCAGCAAGTAGCAAACATACATTCTCTTTTTGCAACCATGATTCATTTTCGTCCCTGCTTGACTCTGAGCAGATCTGAATCCTGGTCTTGCACACCTTGGCTACTAACTTGACTGCTTCAGTCTTTCATGTTGAAACTGATCCATCCATAATAAATGCAAATTAATTGGAACAGATCCTTGAAAGTGAATCCTTTACATTTGCTGTGAGCATCTCACTATTGGCAGACGTAGTGCCAATTACTTACTTACATAGTCTCACATGCACTGATTGTTAATCTCTTACAGCAGGCTAAAAAGAACAATTCTGTAATACATACTCACCTACGTGAATGAAGCCAAGTCCCTGTAATGAACCATGAAGAAGAAGGAAAAAATGAAACCCACATTTCCTATTTTCGCAGTACCATATATGATGGCTTCTCTGTAATTTTTGCTTATTGGCTTTTTGTTTCACAAGGAAAAATGCCTTTATCATCTGCCTTTAGGGTCACTATCCCATGGCCAATTCGTAAGGAAGTTAAAAAATAACCATACCAAGCAACCATGTATGAAGGCCTTTACAAAAGAAGATGCAGAAGACATTTAATTCCTAAATTGATGGGGTTTTTATTTCTTGAGGACAGTCAGCATTCTATGGACAATACTTAGGAGATGAAGTCTGTCCCCAAAGTCACTGAGAACAGAAGACAGCAATATAGCAACTTCAAACTTCTGGTCACAAGCCTAAGTCAGAGGCCAAATTGTTCATTACAGCAAGAAACCTGTATCAGGTAAGAAATGGCCAGGAGGTCAAAAAATTATTGACAAAAAAGCAGGACCATGAAGAAGCAATTTTTTTGCTCTTCTCTGTCAACAGGACAATAAGATGTTCTTCAATATTTTTATTTTTAACTTTTAATTTGTAGTTTATAAGATTATTAGATTGCAGTTTTTGTTATTGAGTGTTGTAGTTTCAGAAAATTGAAAACCAAACCTACAAGAGCTACCTGTGTCTGGGGAAAGCTTTAGATGTGAAAAAGAGAGATACAGTTCATAATGTGTGGGCTTTTTTATTAAACTGGGGGTGGGGGGTGTTTCACAAGGAAAAACACCTTTACCAGATTATGTCTTTTTTTTAGAATCCATACCTTACATGGGCTTTTGACAACTCTTTCAAAATTACAAACTATTTCCATGGAAAAGTATCCTTGATGGATACACATCCATGTTAGATTAGTGAATCAGGATTTGCAACTATTTTGCTCAAAATACACATAGTAGAATCTCTCATCTCTTTTCTCTCACTCTTCACTAATATCTCCTCTATCTACCAGTTACCTTGCTTCTCAAAGATGTGATATTTCTGATACTCTGAGCAATTTTTCAGATATAAAGAAAGTTTATGTGTTCAAAAGCTTGTCAATGTTTTTCAGTGATAACTGGTCAATAAAAGATATTACCTTTATCTACCAATTTGGTCTTACAGTTATACATCACATACACATAGGAATGACATATTAATTTTAAGGTCAATAGGATTTCTGGGTTCAAAAACAAATTTGATTTTTACACATGATACAAAAGCTTCATTATAAAAAAAATCTACAAAATATAAGTATGACAAGTTGTAGATCATAAAGCATTTGTGTGTACTCTTCACTTCTCAGTTAGTTCCAAAGCCGTAAGTGCTTGGCAACTGGCATGGCTCTGAAAAGGACTCTGGTTTCTAACTCATTTCTTGAAGTGTCAGCTGTCCAAGCATACAGCCAATTTTTACTTAGCATTTTGTGCTCTATAATAACTCCCACGATATGGAAGCCAGAAATATTTTGCCTTGCATTCTATGGTGTGAAAACCTTTCCTTCTGTGTTTACTATTTAGCTTTTAAAAGTGGCTATTATACAGCTGTTCAGAGAAAAATGTGATTTTTCTGTTTATACCCACAAAATTCTTTTGTTTTTCCCATCCACCCATAAAAAATGCAGATTAAAGCTCAAATTCTTGGCAAAACTTGTCCACATCTGACAATAACAATGCAACTATGAATTTTAAGAAGAAATCTCACAATAATTGTTATGAACTTCTAGTACATGCTTTGTAACCTGTGAGAACCCAGCCTCTGAATTTTCAGTAAATAGCCAACTAATACAAATTGATATATTACTATAAAATATGATCATGCAACAAAAACAACTGTGTTATAATCAGTAAAATCTTCTGTTTCATAAAACTTCCATGCTACTTATGTATACTACAAGCTCCTTAGGTAAAAAAGAAATAATATACAGTTTATAATTGTTGTTTTATCAATATGTATAACCAATGCACAAGATGGGAGGAAGCTAATGGCAGTATCACAGTTAATTTGTCCAGCAGAAAGTCTGTTCCTATGAAGCAGCTCATAGTGAGAGACAAGTCTCCTGAGATAATGAAAATCCAGATAAAGAGTCTAGGTTGTAAATAGTAAAAATAACCTTTGTGGCTAATCTGCCTATTAGATGAAGAAAGCAAGCCATTTGAGAGAACTTAAGGTATCAAAGTTTGACAATAAGGATGTTATTAGCCTTTTAAAAATAATCATATTTAAAGTAATCTGGTAATCTATAATGCAAACTTGAGTTTTAGAAGGTAGTGTTTAAGGGACATAAACAACTTAATTTTCCATCTCATTTCATGCAATTGATAACATAATACTGTATGTTTTTGATATGATTATCCAAAAATTGGATTTGATCTCCTAGAAACATTTTATCTAACAGTTTATGAACTTATCTAACATCTTTATCTAAGGCGTTGAAATTAGGTATATGAAAAGAAACTCTGGAATTTTTCATTGATAAGGACAAACAGGAGTTTTTGTAAGGGTTGTAAATGTGTTGTAAGGATTCTTTAGTAAAATAATAGTTCCTTTTAAGATTTGTTTTCCATTCTATACCAGCTATTTAATCTCTATTTTCTAGGTTAATGGAAAGAGAAAAGCAGAAACATTCTTGAATAGTAGTCTTAGTTTTGAACTTACTTTCTGATTTTTCTTCCAAGATTTCTTTCAACCTTCTTTCAAGGTTTCTTTTTTTATTTCAACATGCTCTACCCATAACCAAGATGAAGCCTGTGCATTTAACAGTTTTTGGTTTCTTGCTTTTAGTATACTTGAATCTTGAGTCATAATGGGATGTTAGATTCAATCTTCACCATGGAGCAACTAATGCCCACTAGTATTTTCTAGACTTGACTAGATGGATTTTTTAATATAGTAATTTTGATTATGGTATTTATGGTTCAAAGCTCAATTCTGCTGTTGCATTTAGTCCGTACAAGTTTTTCAGCAAGAAATCACTCTCTTTTTAGTCTACTGTATTTCATCTTTCAATGCATACTGCGTAGGCTTATACTGGAAAGTTTCTCTGTTGAAAGAGTTTTAGTCTAAATTATTACTCATGTCTTAAAAAAAAAAAATAAAATGAGGGAAGGTGTACCTGTATTTTGCATTCTGCAATGAAATTATGAAATACTTATCTTAAAACAAGTGGAAGATTATCAAACTCAAAGGGAAACAGATCATGGCAAGGGAGAAAATAGATAAACACCCCAACAGATATCTTTTAACTCAGCCAAACTGAATTTAGAGCCTTTTTAACACATTCCATGGAGACCTTATTGCAGCCTGTCAGTACTTAAAGATGGTTTATAACAAAGATGGGGACAACCTTTGCAATAGAACAAGGGGTAATGGTTTTAAACAAAAAGAGGGTAGATTCAGACTAGATATAAGGATGAAATTTTTAAGGAAGAAATTCTTCACAATGATGGTGGTGGAACACTGGCACAGGTTGCCCAGAGAGGTGGTAGATGCCCCATCCCTGGAAACATTCCAGGTCAGGCTGGACGGGGCTCTGAGCAACCTGGTCTAGTTGAAGCAGTCCCTGCTCATTGCAGGGTCGTTGGACTAGATGACCTTGAAAGGTCCCTTCAAACACAAACTGTTCTATGATTCTATGATTCTGTAGATATTTAACTTCCCACAAGAAGTTAAATAACAAAAGAAAATATTTGCCTCCCATGGATAAATTAAAGGAAGTAATAATAAGAAATGTTTTTGGAGTGTTACTGTACTGGCTATCTGAATTCAGCTCTGAAATATCACTTTATGATAAAAATTAACAACCAGAAATGTTACATAGAGAATAATTTTGAATTTATTGCATTCCCTATTATCTCCATGTTAGTTACAGGAGTAATGCTGTCATCAATAAAAATAGTTGCAAAAGGCTAGGGAGAGATATTGTTCTATTATATTTTATATAGCAAGATATAATTCAATTTTCCATAGTGTTCTCTATATCTTGATGTCCTATTGCTCTTTTAAATGAAGTTGGAACGCAGTAACATTTAATTCTGAAAACACTGAACAGGAGTATGATATGAAAATGTTCCTAACTATGATGTGCACCTTAAAGTAAAGGTAGTTCTTATCTATTTTCTCGTTCTTATTTTAGGGGCATATAATCCATAATGATTTTCTAGCTATTATTCCTGTCTGCACAGGGAGGTTCCTTGTATGTATAGCTCCAAAATGAAGCAATACAACTCTTTATCCCTGCAGACTAATTGCTCCATTTGCCTCTCTCCATTTTTCCACTGCTTTCTCTCAGTTGACACTGCTGCCTAATTCTGTGGATTATTTTCAGATTATGGGGAAACACTCATAACAAAATGCACCCACTTACTTTGACTCATGCTTGACACATATGAATGAGAAGCATGACTGAAACACAAATGATTTGATCAAAATTATTTGGCAGTATGGCAAAACCAGTCTATTCATAATCTACAGTAAGCAACAGTAGCTAGAGCTGGATATGATGAAGATATCTGTAATGTTATTGAAAATCAAATAGTCAAATTTATGTCATTACAGCAAACATACTCCACAGACAATATTTGGAGAAAAATTGCTACTCGCAGTGGTGATGGCCCTGCATATGATAACCAAAACATTTTCATTTCAGTTGCCACATCTGAAAGTGACAATCTAATTTTACTAGGGTTACTGAGAATGTGAGGAAAATTAATAGTCAAGAAGAAGGCCATGTTATTCCCTAAATAACTAGAGGATCAATGATTGGGTGAGAAATGGGGGCAGGAGAAGGAAGATATAAATTTGTGTAAACTCCTCCCCATCTAGAGAGAGGGTAAAAAACCAACCTAATCCAACCTAAGAATTAATTTCTATTTAAGAAATGGATTCTCAGCTACATGTGTGAATCTCTAACTGTGAGCTATGCCATACAGAAGATAATCTAGGATATTTCTGGAGACAGGGGGATTCTATCCTTGCATTTTCATAAATCTTTTTAATAGTACTGCCTGGATTTAGATTTTATAAACATACACTTTGCTGATAATACAGATCAGGCAGGTCTTGCCAACATAGAGGAGAGTCAGCATATCACACAGGAAAAAACCGGATGACTAAAAAAAATGGACTATGAGATATAGGCCTTATAGTATAACATACAATGTTGAAGTGACAGACGTAGCATAGATTTCTGCTGCAGTATAGGAGTTCATCAGTGTGATAAAGTAAGACAAGAAAAAGAGTTGAGCAGACTAACTAATCATTATGAGCCAGCAATATGATGCAGATATGAAAAGGGCAAATATCATTTAAAGTATATGAGATATTTCTAGTATAGACAGGATATTATTAAATTATTATTATAATAAATTATAATTAAATTATAAAATTATTAATATAGACAGGAAGTTATTAATGCTACTACACCAGGCAGTTGTGAGAGCTCACCTGTTATCATCAGTTTGCCTTAATATAAAATATCCAGATTTTATTCCCTTTAATTCTTCATTGGCAATAACAAGGACAAACTGATATACAGGAATACCCCAAGCTGGAAAAAGTAAAGGAAGTTAAGTGTTTTTTAAATTGTTCTTACTTATTTGGATTCTGATCACATTAGATTATCTGAGTCAACCGATTTCTAAAAGACCTTGTAAAATATACTCTTCTAATACAGGAAATAGCTGTAGACTATGCTTAAAAGATTCCTTTCTTTTAAGTGATGTGAAGCATTATACATAGAAGATGAATGCACCCTGAGAAAAGTGCTCTGTAAACATGAGGAACGTATTTGAGAATTGTTTGTGTAAAGCAAATAATGGACCACACCATAACCTCAGTGACAAAGTATCTCCACTGCTTCTGAATGTATGCTTATCTAGTTACATTCTTCTTGCTGCTCAAAGTCTTGCTGACACTTTCTTAGACACACCCAATTGTTGTTTTTTTTTCCTTGCATGATTTATTAGCATGTTGTAACAGTTCCACAAGCACAATAAATGTGAAACTTTAGATTAAGGTAGGGAGGCATTACTTCTCTACATTTTGTTACCCTCTCCTATTTGCAATTGCCTAATATGAGCATTCCATGATGTGTAAAGATAATTTGCACCTATAATAGCCGTGCAATATTATATGTATCATATAGACCTACTTTGAGAGGTGAATGGGAATGACTCCTCAGGGGTCCACAGCCCTATGGTAGATTAAGTTCCACCCTAGCTGCAACAACTGCAAAATCCCCCACAGCTTCACTTAGGCACCAGCAAGAAGCAGAGGACAAGCTCTGTTCTTTCACCAGGGGACGCACAAAGGATTATCATTGTGAAAAAGAAACTTCTAATTTTGCAGACACATAATTAGACACCAGTGGACACCTCTTCCCTGAAAAGGAAACCAAGGAAGATAATACTGTCCCAGTGATAGGCAAGGGGAGGAGGCTAGGTAGAGATTAATCCCCCCTCTCCAAGGCAAAGTTTGAAGGTAGAAGGACAATAAGGAGGTGGCTGCAAGACTCTCCCTCTACTTGTTTGAGGAAGAGATATTGATCTTCATTTATTTACTTTGTGCAATATGGATTTAATCTTAAACCTTTAACAGAAGAAGAGCTGACCAGTTTGTCCATCCCAGCAAAACACATACGATGCAGTATGTCAGCACAGAACTAATTTAAAATTGACTCTTTGAAAAAAAATTAATGTTTTGCTCAAAGAATGTTTGTTACCATTTTAATAAGATGAAACCTAACATTCTTATGTTGTTTTTCAAGAATTAATTGCAAAGGTGAATCAGGAGAGACTGCCAACTGATTCTATCCCATTCAGAAAGCTAGTGGCCAGGTAATTGTTGTCTTATTTTTTGGCATTCTTTTCCTTTCTCTTTGCCACTTATTCATGCAAAGCTGTCTGTCAAATGGACTTGAAATTATTTGCTTTTAATAAAAGTAACATAAAGCAGAAAAATTAAAGATAAACAGGAACACTGTGACAAAGGCACATAAAAAAGTTATCTGTGGGAAAACACAACTATCTGAAGATTTATTTTGTTTTAATAATTAAACCATAGCATAATAGATCAGAAAACTTTCTACAATGTAATGCACAACTAGAATTGTCCATCCATCCAATTTTGTCATAAGTTTCAGTCATACACGTAGTGAAAAACTGGCAGGTTTATGCTTTAGAAATTGTGGAAACTTTTAAAACATGTCATTCAACATTATTATTTGCATTTTCACACACAATGTTTTTTTAACAGTATAATAAAAATGACAAAACCAAATGGCTCAAAGGCAAATAAGAATAGTGATTTTTCTATAGTAAGAGCATTCTATGAGACTATTCCTATCACCTATCAGTGTGGCAGAATGGCCATAATAAATAGAATAAAATAGTGGTACTGTGTTCACTCTCCCCATCAGAAAAGAAGAGATATTTCTTCAAATTATTTAACATGAGTCTACATTAATAACTTACTTTGGAGACATTACGCAATTTCAAAGTTGATTCGAACAGGTAATAGTTGCATTTTGCAACAGAAGCAAATGTGCAGCAAATGTGTTTCTGTATATAAATGTGATTGAGCTATTTCTTTTTGTAAGCCTTTCTCAATATTCCCTTATTCTAACAAAAGTAAAGGGGTTACTGATGGTTCCCTACAGGAATAGACATGTTATACTCTTGCTCACAAATTCCAACAATGCGTTGCCATGGGGAATTTCTGAGCATTGTCAGAGAAAAAAATATAGTACCTATCATACACCTGTTCCAATCTTCAAGTTTTCAGGTTTTATTCCTATATCACCAATGCTGGGAAAAGTCTTCCCTCACATTTTATTAATCTCCAAAGATGTAACTGTATATTTGTAGATAACATTATTATTAAGCAAAGAAAACTGTGAAACAGGAAGGAAGACATAGTCCACAGTCTATTCATTCATTTCTTATTAGACAGTTAATCTTACTGATTTCACACAGCATTTGCAAAATTATCTTAATGAGAACAACCTACTTTTCAGGTTGATTTTTAAAATTCTGTACTTCTCAAAACTATAATCAGAATCCTACATGCACAAGAGCCCAGTGACTCAACTGGTTGTCTCATAAGTTTAGCAAGAACTAAGCAGCTGGTTTACAGCACTAAATTAAAGGTTTTATATGTCTCTTGCTCTTATGAAACAGGCTTGCTAGACACAGAGCAGAAATCTGTAGACTGTACCCTGCCGCTTCAGCTTGTTGAAAGCAATCTAGAGCACAGTTTTAAGAGTTAACAAAAAAATAGATAAGGGATATCTGGCTCTGTAGATATTGAATTAGGATTTCAAAAAGCTTTCAATAGAGTCCTTTCCAGGAGATTATTAAGTTAGTAGCCACAGGAGGCAAAATGAAGTCCTTTCATGAATTAAAAGCTGGTTACAGTAGAAGAAGCAAAAAGGCTAATGGTGGAGTGCCCTGGAGATTGGCAGAAATGATGCTGCTTCGTATATCATCACAGGCCACAACAATTTTAAATTAAAAGTATTACTCAGAATGATAGAAATCATGGAATACTGCAAAGAATTGAAATTGGCTGACAAAATAAAAATGATTTACCAATGTGGTAAAGATAGAATGCAAGATAGAAAAGTAAAAACTATAAATTACTTTTGCCACTTTTAATATTGCAGCTTCTGGTAATTGCACTGATTAATATGAAGGACAAATCATGTTGATAACTATGCAAGCATATAGGAAAGGTGGTTCTTATTTCAAAGACTTGCAGTTAGCACTCTGGTCTGATTTGTAAAAAGCCCAGCCTGAGGCAAAGGTCAACAACATAGGCAGTATTAAGAAAGATTACTTTCTAATATGGGTACTTGCTTGAATAAAAGTTTCTAGAACCATGAAAAAAATGAACACTTTTAAAAATGTAATTTTTGTGGTACTATTTTCTAACTGCTACCATCTTGAATCATCTGGGAGCCATAAAACATTCTGAATTGTGGAATACCATTTTGTAAGAAGATTTAAAGTGATACATGCAGTGCCAGCCAAGGAAAGATTATGAAGATTTTTATGGACTCTAGTAAAACAACCTTCTCCAAGAGCTTCCATTAAGTTCATACAAAAAATGAGGCTTATTTGGGAGGAAAGTGAGAACAGTTCTCTGTCTCTAGGTCTGGAGCTCCTTTTATGAGACTTGCTCTCTGCTTGCTCTTCAGTGGAATAAGTCCTGCCTCATATGTTCTCCCCTCTGAGGGGAATGTTTCAGGAGGAAGGTGTTTGCCACAGAAGGTCAGGTCATCCTCTCATGACTCATTTTGGTTCTATTAATGCCACGTTGGTGCTGCAATGTGCCACACTGGCCGACTTAGGAGTTATTGACTGGAGATGAATAAAAGTTTCTGCTAACTGAGCTGTCACAAAGAGCAATACTCATACAAGACTGGTGGGCAAGTTCTCCTAATTTCGGATGAATTTAAGTTTGCTACTTTTGGTTATACCCTTTCCACCATTAATCCAATAGACACACAGATCTACAATATTTCAACTGCATAGAGTAAAATCTAAATGATTTCTAGTATGGGTTCAGATTAGTGAATAATTTGTCACAGCAAATTTTGTTACATATATGGCAAACCAAGTCATTACTGTCAGCATATTTGCTGAACTTACACCTAAAAGGAAATCAGCACAACAGTATCAGTTTAAAAATCAAAACACATCTAGTCAATCTTTTGCCAGACTTAAACTATTCCATTTTAAAAATCAAGTTACAAATGTAAGTAAGACGCACAAACTACTGGACATTCCTCCACTTCTTAGAAACCCTAGCATAGGGCTTCTAACTGAACTTTACTTTCACACTAATTAAGCTTAATTAAAGAACAAATATGTGTAAAGGTGGCCTAATTACTCAGGACTTCTAATTGTATATCTCTAGAGCTAATATAACTAAATAACAAACCAATTTTCAACTGCATTCAAGAAACTGTTTAATTTGCACCCAGCACATTCTGTTCAGTACATGTGTTTTAATAGCATTTCATGTAAAAAGGCATCACAGTAATATTTAATACTATCTAGGATTTTATATATGGTGAAATGTATAAAAAAGCTTGTTTTTGTGAGGGTGATAAGGTTACTTCAGTAACTGAAATATTTTAAGATGTGTATGCCTCTTTAACATCTGGAATTCTTCACTCTCCTACAATAGATTATAGACACTAGAAAAAACACATTTCGAGCAAGGTGAAGTCAAGCATACATAAAAAGTGTCTGACCTACCTTGCAGCTGCTTCAGAGCCACAAGAACTAGATTAAGCTCTGTACTGATTAACAGTATCTCTTAAAGGCGAGGGTACTTTGGTTAAACCCTTACTGATGTTTAAGACCAAGGGATTTTCCGAAAGTGCTGGTAAGCTGTAAGGGGTCTGATGCATATGTTGACAAAGTAATTGCATAACTGATTGTCTTTCGACTGATAAATCTTGAAAGTCATCCTCCAACTTTTAAAGTGATTTACTGCTTCATGTGGGAATCTGTTCCACCAGCCCAACAAGCTCATTTGGTT